AAAAAAGACACATTTTGGTTTCCATAGCAACCATACAAGCACTCTGAATCCCAAATATTTTGTTGTAAATTATTGACTAGAAACAATGATACTTTATATTTATTACCACAACTTAAAAGGAGGTGGATACAAAACGGTATATTTTGTTCATGCTAAATGTGTATAATTTGCCTTCATAAATACAATGAAAAATGACCTCTGCTCCTGTGGTTGTGACAATATTCAGCCAAAATATTATTTGTATATGAAATTGCTGTTATGCTTGTCATATGACAGGGCTCGACAATAACGCTTGTCCGATACCAGAGGAAAAAAGGGTCGGACAAGTAAAAGTCATATCAAGTTTGTCCGACGGGACAAGTAAAAATCATTCTGTTGAAAATAAATTAAATCCAACTTTGATGATCAAAGTAATAAACAAAAAAAAAAACAAGAAAAGAAGATATTTGTTTGACATGTTTACTTGCGATCGATAATTTAAAACTGGTTCTTTGTCAGATACTTTATAACAGATAAAACGCATACTATTCTCGGAAACCAGTCTTACCGAATGTGGCTTTGTAGAAAAGGTAACAAGACAGTTGGGCACCGTCACGGAAACGAATCGGCTCCATGTTTAAAAGACAGTTCGGCACCGTTGGAGACATTTCGGGACAAAGACAAACCAGTACCTTGTTTTCCTACTTATTCTGTTGCTTTATAATAAATATATGAGAATTTTTTTTACCATAAAATTCATAAAATCATATTTGATCATATTTAGACAAAACAAGATTTGATTGTGTTTGAATAAACATTTTAATATATTAAAAACAAAACTGATTATAGTAAGGCATTAATCATAATAATCAATATTTTATCAACTCAAAAGACCAGGATACAAACTAAATGAGTGTAGACTGACAGGCCTAACAGACTGTGCCTAATGTGCAGAGTTTGATGAGACTTTGGCATTGATGAAAAATAGAACCGAAGTCCTGTGACTAGACTTGACTAGATTCAGTTTTTCTGGATTCATATTTTTGAAAAAGGATATCAAGAGATATAAATCAAATTATGTTCATTGAATCAACCTAAAATGCAAAAAAAGGTTAATATAAAGGTTTTTTTTGGACAAGTTACAATTCCATTCGGACAAGTAAGTTTTGGTATGTACTTGTCCTATTGGGCAAGTTGAAAAAAAAGTTATTGTAGAGGCCTGTATGAAACTAGTTTCTTGTAATTTTAATGTTATCAAAATTAATAAACCAATAGATATAAGAAGATGTGGTATGAGTGCCAATGAGACAACTCTCTATCCAAGTCAAAATTTATAAAAGTAAACCAATATAGGTCAAAGTACAGTCTTCAACACAGAGCCAATGCATGCATATATACTAAACTAAGTCCTGTATGCACGTTTTTTTATATTTATGACAGATCTATAGCCTATTTTCGACAATAATATTTCATTCAATGATTGTTGATTGCAAGTAAATTTACATTCGAGTTTGTTGCCAAAGTTTACCAGATCGTGACATTGATAAACAATCAACAGAGCATGTAGAACACATGACAAATAAGTGAATTTATAGAGCCATGATATTTTTTTTTTATATTTTCCATGCGTTTCCATTTGTTTATATATATTTTCCTTAATAGTTGTTAAATGATTTTTTGTATCAAATTTGTTCTTTCAGAATCAATTATTGCTAATTACCTTCCAGTGCACGTTTCTTAACATTTTTCATTACGGTATTCCCCTTTGCACTTGCATTGTGCGGTGTCCGAAGTTCTAACGAGAGGTCTCGTAGTTAGATCACTGCATACGGGAAAATATTGGCAAATTAGTATACGGGAAGACAATAATTCAATAGCTGTTCATTTATGACGATTAATAATACAAAGGATTTTCGTTTACAAGAAAGTTCACGTACACTTGTTTCATAGTAAAACTTATCCATCCAAGTTTTTAAAACATATTCAAATTTTTTTTAAATTTGAAGTTTCATATGACTTTAAGTATCATGTTTCTGAAAAATATTACATGATTAACAAATATCATTAAATAAAATCTGATTTTGCTTCAGAATGCCTGCAAAGCAGTTTTTTTTTCAATGCTAAATTCCCCAAAATGTACAGAAAAACTCATTGACTTAGCTGCCATGGCAACCGTGGCCTAGCAACACTTTGAGAGACATTTTCTTACTTTTTCACCTAATTATATGGTCAGGCTATAGCTAAGTTTCAGGAAAATCAGTGACTATGTGTGCCGACCCCCATATATGAAATGGTTTGTGGTTACAGAGAATTGCTCTCAATGGGTGTTGTAAACTTGATGTGAGTCTTTCCATTTATGGGGAACCACCTCAGTGGTCTCATTGTAGCGTGTTCACCTTGAGTGCAGGAGGTCGTGGGTTTGAACTTAAAATTAGTATTTGCTGCTTCTCGGCTAAGCATGCATCATTAAAGAGTGAGAGCAAAGACTGGTTGGCTAGGAATCAGAATAATGTGTCCGGGTAAGGTGACATGTCTTCCTAAGAATATACCAAAAGAGGAGTTCAAAGGTTTTTTCGACATCAAATTTCAAATGAATTGTATATCCCCCCCCCCCCCCCGACACAGAAATATCTCTGGGGCTCTTTTCACATGAAAATCTTATGACTAAAATTTATTGTAAGTTATACAGAACTGTTCATGACTTACGAAAAAAAATTTCATAAGATTTTTTTGTAAAATGAGTCCCGGATATTGCTTATAGAATAACTAATCGAAGAATTCAAATAGAGAAAAATATTCAACGAGTGACCGAACAACACATTATTTCACGAATGCGCGTAGCGCATGAGTTAATTATCAGTGTTGTTCGGTCACGAGTTGAATATTTTTCGATATTTGAATTCTTTGATTAGTTATTCTTTTTATTACATTGGCAAATGGCTTTTTTCAATGAAATTAATGTAGAAAATGTAAGGAACTATATCTTTTTTCTACGCATTCACAATTTGTTTTGATCCGACGTTATCGACGTCTTGACAACGCCTATTGTTGTATGACGTCCGAGAGTGAAATAACCACGTTTATTTCACATGTGAAATTATCGGTTTTTATTTGAATGGGAAATCAATGTAATTCAATGCTACCAATGTTATAATATAAAATAAAGATTATAAGTTTTTTTATTGTTTTAAAAAAAGTGACATTCTAAAAACGTAAACAAGTTTCCTTTAGTGTTTTGTGAATTATTTTGACGAAATGAATAACAGATAATGTCATGATAATCAATGGCCAAGTTCACTCATCTAAGATTTGTAAAATAAAGGTGGAAGATATTTAACAACAATAATATTAAATTAGATTTGTAAGTACCAATTAACAGTAATCATAAATACACATTCAAGAATAAATCATCTAAACACAAAAATAAAACAATTTTCACGAATTTTTATACATGAAAATATAAATATATTCTTAAAAATATTAAATAATTCAACCTGTATTTAAATAAAAAAAAGGGTGTGAACGAACCCAGGGGTGGAAGTGTGGGGTGCGAAAGTATAGGGTGCGAACATGTTCTGGGAGCGAATGGACACGATATCCATGAAAACATTAAGGTTAATCAGAAGGAATTGAAAAATATGGCCATGATTACACCACAAAATTTACAGACAAACCTGTGCACCTAGAAATGTTTTAAGGCATGGCAGGAACTAGGTAAATACAATTTGAATGCATTTTAAGTTTCAGAAAATTAATCGCTTACCAGGAATTTGAGATTCCTTTTTTTTAAGCCTGCAGAAGGTAATAAATAAACAAACACCCGAATTTCATTTGATATGGTCCACTCATTTACTAAGTTTAAATCACCTATTGTTGTGCAGATATCTATTGTCCATTTAATCAATACAACTCACACCAATTATTTACATACACGTGTAGGGGAACATCTCAAATATTTTTCATAACTTAAGTCTATTTTGGCACCTTATGTGGGAACGGTAGGTCTTTTCACCACCGAACACCACCGCACACCGCCGAACACCACCGAACACATTAAAATACCATCTAACACACCTAAATATATTGTTTTCATCTTTATTTACATACTTGACTTACCTTCTGATCGAGTATGAATATGTTTATACATACATGACATATATATACACAAATTAATAAGAAATGATAACAAGACAACCAAAAAGAACAGTCTTGCAGGGCTGTTGTCAGAACAGTACACTTTCAAGTCTAACATTTTTTAAATATAATTATTGTGATAATTTCACATTAAATAAAATGATTTAACTTATTTGAACAATTTATTTCTAATAATTGAAAAGTAAAGGCCATAAGACATGTAAGATAATATACAATGAAATACAGACAAAGTAAATCCGGAAAAAATATTGCTGGATCCGGAAGCGTTTTTTTTTTTTATTTTGATTCTTAACTTTTAGGAACATCACTAAATGACTAATGCACATAAAAATGTGAAAAAAAATGATAATAGGATTAAATTTTACATAATTTAATCGATTTTATTGTTTTATTGTGTAACATTACTGTTTTTCTTAAGGGTTAGTGGTCTTTTCAGGTGTTCGGTGGTGTGCGGTGGTGAAAAGACCGACCCGTGTGGGAACGATTCAACGGAAAAAAAGGAACCTCAATATCCAGAAAAGTTTATAATTTTCTGAAACATAAAATGTATTTAAAATTTAATTCTCTAGTTCCTGCTTTGCCTTAAAACCTTTCCAGGTGCACAGGTTTATTTGTACTCAGAGTAAAATGTGTGGTGTAAATACGGCCATATTAGCCCCCCAAAAAAGGATATAGCGAATTTGGTCTTATGTTATTTAAACGTGGAACAGTTCTACGTGCATAAACGCATTACAGAAATAGTTCCTGCAATACAAAGTTACTTTTAATTGTGTAAATATTGAACTAGAAACCTGACAAATGTTATGTCAAATTCCGAGATGGCGTGACAACTGACGAAACAACTTTGAATTATTCATGTTATTTACCGCCCCATTCTCTTTCAAGTGATGTTTCCGTGGAGCCCATGTTATCTTTCCTACTGTTCTTTTCTTCCCCATATTTTATGTATAATATACAGAGTTCTTTTTGTTCATTTTTTATAAAAGTAAAAGCTGTCGTCTTTCCATTTACTGTCCTTCACCTTCGATGACTAACACACTGGAACAAAATCGGTTCTTTTCCCGGAAATTTAACTGACATAATTTTTACACCCACATTTCAGCATGTGAGACAAGTCGGCCCGGAGACAACTCGGACCATCTATGAAGACATCTCGGACCGTCAATAAGTCAACTCGGACAGTTTTTTGTTTGTTTGATATATATGTTTATTCAAATCAAATCAAATCAAATCAAATATCTTATAATATTCCAATCATGGTCCCACAGGGGGATTTACAATTAACAATTGTAATTAGATATGACAATATAAGCAACAAACATGAGACTCAGTTTATTATATCCTCGATTATTTGAACAAACTATAACTATAATATATACATGCGGCATATCTTTATTTCATCAAAGAAATAATTTCAAGTCAAGTATGTCATTTACATAAGAAACATATAATTTAAGCACCATGTACAACCTAAGACGTACACTAAATCAAAACAAGTATGTGCTTGCTGTTCGGTGTGAGCCAAGGCTCCGTGTTGAAGGCTGTACTTTGACCTATAATTGTTTACTTTTTACACATTGTGACTTGGAAGGATAGTTGTCTCATTGGCACTCATACCACATCTTCTTACATGTTTGTATGTCATTCACATAGTAGTAGGTTACTTATGATTGAGCACTAATTATAACTTATGATATAATATAATAAGGAAACGTTATCTCATAAAGTTCTTATTTCAAAAGCAGTCAAGTTAGACAGTAGGATTCATCTCATAAGCTAGTTGGCACTATAGACGATCCGAGTTGACTTTAAAATACTTTTTTTTAAATATTAGATAAAGAACTCAACAAATAAATAAATCAAATTCAACCTAGCTAAGACTTTTTTTTTGCTTTATTGCATTGCATTATAATAAATTGATAAAGACAAGGATTTGTATAGAGAGTCTCACTATACAAATCCTTGATAAAGATAAGTAAAAATTTGAAATCACATTATACAATATTTTTTTATGATGTTTTGCAAATTCAGCAACATGCAAATGATATTGTCATGTAAAATCTAACATTTAATAATTTATAATCATTTTATAGTTCAAATCCTCTTTTAATACTTTGTTTCAGTTGTCATTATAGACGGGCCAAGTTGACTTATTGACGGTCCGAGTTGTCTTCATAGACGGTCCGAGTTGACTTATTAGTCGGTCCGATTAGACTCTGTCTGACTTGTCTCCAGGCCGAGTTGTCCCACATTCTTCACCAGTCTTTTCGATCTATTCATTCCAAACATAGATCTGGATATTTTTAAACACTAAGATCATTTTGATAACTTTGTTTACTTTTAATCAAATGCTTATTCTGCATAATTTGTAAAAAACTTAAAAGTCAATTTAAATTGTATTTGAAGAAATGCCCCCAGAAGAACCGTTAAGACAATCATGGCTGGATATATAAGAAATAGTTATCTAATAGATAATAAAAACTCAGTACATTACAAATTTAAAATTAATTTCAAATATGAAAATCACTTAAATCTTGACTTAAACTCATAAGATGACACCGGAAAAGAACTACAAGTTAACTATGTGAACAAAATTGGTAAATGGAGTTCGCCCTCTTTGTATTGGTTCTCTCCTCCACTGTATATTGGTTCTTGTATTATTATTATTATTATATTTTTCTTATTAATCATTTTTAGATATTAATAATCAATATGTATGTTAGATTTCATGTGATGTATGTTTGGATATGTATGAACTTTGGGCTTTGTATTGATTTTTATACTTTAAATGGACCCTTTCATTAGGAATAACGAATTTTGATTTTGATTTGATTTAAAAGGGTCTCGTTAATGACCCTGGAAATTACTTAGGTATATCATAAGTGTCTCATATAGGATTTGTTTTTACAGCTACAGCTACAGCTACTATCAATACTAGACTGCTGAAATGGAGCGAGGAACACTGTATTATCTCAGACGCACAGTTCGGATTTAGACCTGGGCACGGAACTCATGATGATCATGCAATATTTGCTCTTCATTCCATTATATCAAAATCTTTGCGAAACGGAAAAATTTTATTTTGTTGTTTTATTGATTATAAAAAGGCTTTTGACAGTGTTAAGCATTTTAAATCATGGATGAAATTAGCAAAATGTGGTATAACCGGAAAATTGTTAAATCTAATAAAATCATAGTATTCTTACTTGAAATCATGTGTTAAACATGAGGGACATTTTTCTGAGTTTTTTAACTGTGACATAATAATAAAAATTCAATATACATGCAGTACACTACGCCATCTTATGAAACGCCTTCTATATCCAACCTTATAAATATCATTCATGATAAATTACCAGGAAATAAGAAAAGGTAAAAATGATGCACGTCCTAAAGTTAAAATATTTGAATAATTGGACTAGAAAATGAAAAAAAATAATTTCCAACTTTGGACACCAAAATACTGAACAACTCATGAAAATGAAATCATGAAAACAAAAATTTCCATATCGTTCATCTTCAATGCCGCATCATGTTTATCAGTATCAATAGGCAACCCTAGATGGAATTCCAAAAATAGGAGACCAATTTTTTAATAGAGAAATGCTCAGTGCGCCCAAAACTGCCATGTTATACAAGTAAATTTTGCGGGACAATGAAATCAGTGAAAAATATTCTAGTTACATGTCCATTTATCGATTACCCCAAAAAACTTCCATGTTATACAGGTAAATTTTGCGGGACAATGAAATCAGTGAAAAATATTCTAGTTACATGTCCATTTATCGATTGGCCCCAGATCAAAACTAAAATTCTATCGGTAGAGTAAATTTCAGATGCAAATTAAGTATGGTATTCAACCGGATATTCTTCAAAAGGACATTCAAACAAAGCCATAAACAAATTATAATATAAAAATGAGAAGATGTGACATGATTGCCAATGAGACAACTTTCAACCAGAGACCATGCAAATGACGAAGAAGTTAACAACTATAGGTCACCGTACGGCCTTCAACAATGAGCAAAACCCATACTGCATCGCAATTAAGCAATAAAACCCGACATGGAAACAATTCAAACGAGAAAACTAACGGTCTGATTTATATACAAAACAATTAAAACATGTCAAAGGCCGTACGGTGACCTATAGTTGTAAACTTTTATGTCGTTTGGTCACTGGTGGAGAGTTGTCTCATTGGCAATCATACCATTATATCATATCAAAACTGTCTTCAAAAGCAATGTATCATTTTGATTCTACGAAATTGTTGAACAAATCTGGAAAGTTATATCTATGCTCTTTATAAGATATTCAAATTCCACTGCATCGTCTTAGTTATTATTATCATTTGATATCGTTTTAAAGTTTTAAACTATTTATATTTATTGTCTGAATGGTTGTCAAGGCGAACTTCCTTCTTCTGTTCATCCAGAATATCGGAATCAGACTCTGTACTTGAATGAAATTGACTCGGCGCATCTTAGTTAACCAGACAGGAGGCACCTCAAAGTCAATTGGCAAAAAGTTGAAAATTAAAAACTGGTTGTATCTTGGTCCCAATGTAATGTATATGTATATATTAGGTCAAATGGTTCGAGAATGAATGCACAAAAATCACGAAAGAGCATATTCCATCCAATTTACAGGCGCAGGATCAGATCAACCATGGATGACAAGAGAAAACAAAATGTAAGGCCTAAAAAGAGAATTTTACAAAAAAAAAACGAGACGACAATGAACCTGGAGAAAATCAAAATCCACCAAAAAAGATGGCCAGAGTATGTATATATATACAACGAAACAGACAACAAGAGTGCACACACTGAAATGTATCACTTGCTTTACTTATCATGACTGATTTTATATTGAAAGTCTTTAAAATTAATGTTTGACTATAACTATCACAAAAAAATAACATTTTAAATTATCCACGTAAATAAGGTCAATTTCAGATGAAGCTTGCTAGACGGACATATACACCTTACAATCACTCCATACACCAAATATGTTTGACCTACTGCTGGTAGTTTCTGAAACACAGACCTATCCACAAAATTAACCTCAACATTAACAAATGAACCATGGAAATGAGGTCAAGGTCAGATGATACCTGCCAGATATACATGTACCTTTATAAACCATTAACATAAATTATATCAGCAATCAAAGCTGGGCTACAGAATTATTGTCAAACTACCTACTCTATATATGGACGGTGGGAATCAGATGTGGATACTTAAAAATTCAGAATATCTGTTAGATATAAAAATAAGAAGATGTGGTACGATTGCCAATGAGACAACTCTCCACAAGAGACAAAATGACACAGAAATTAACAATTATAGGTCACCGTACGGCCTTCAACACCACTGTGCTTAAACGGCTGTGAGTAACTTAAGTTACCCACAGCCCAAGATGGAGCCGCCTGGCTTCGGTAAGAAACTTCTCTCTTATATAATAACAATACAATGAAAACAACACAAATGTTCAGTAATTAAAAAGTTGTATCAATCTTTTAGGGAAACACTTACACATAAAAGATGATTAAATACTGCAAAATAAACGATCACATTACGATTTTCGAAAACACTTAGGATGTCCGTAACTTGAAAACAACTTATCCGTAACTTTTTTCATTATACCAATAGGGATGTCCGTAACTTTAACGGGATGTCCGTAACTTTAACACGATGCCCGTAACCTGGGACATAATATATATTATAGTCCCAGCTGTAACTTTCAAAGAATCGATATTCGTGGATGTAATAATTAAACATATTATAGAAATTGTATCGAATATATAATCAGAAATAAAGTAGATTTCTAGTATGATATAATTCTTTTGTGAATACCATAATTTCTGGTATTGTACCCAGCTAATAAACTCGATTTTTTTTTCAATTACATTTGTTAGTTTATCTAGTGACATAGATACCATGTTTATCACTCAATCAGCCAACACAATGGAACTTCAAAATTTAGCATAAGGAAACGAGTTTTGGACGAAAAATCAGGACATGCAGC